GGGGCTGCCCGGTACGGGGGTCCCCCACGTGCGGCCGCGCGTGCCCCGAGTGGCGCGCCCCGCCCGCGCTGTTCTCCTCCAGGCTCCCGGCTCGGGCGAGACGCGGCGGCCCCGTCCCCTTCTCCGAGGCCTGCAGGAAGCGGCCGCCGGAAGGACAGTCTCGGGAGGGAGACGGGGCTCTGCACGCGCGTGTGCCCCGTCCCCGCCCGCCCGGCTGCTCACACCCCGCCCTGCGTTGCTTTCCGATCCAGGCAAACACTGAAGCACGGGCAGTTCCCCGGGCAGCCGCATCGCCCCTTTCATTTGCACTCGCAAACACCCTCTTTGCACACACACCCGCCCACCTAGCCCCACAGCTGCGCGCGCGCCCGCAGGACCCCCCAGCCGCGTCCCGCTTTCATTCCTGGTTTCATTGTCAATCAGTGTCGAGACAGAATGGAAACAGACAAGTCAATAAATCAAGTCTGGAAGCGGCTCCAGGGTTGTCTGTCACAAGCCCCTCTCAGCCGGCCCGCGTGCTCAAGCGCTAGGCGTTCGGTAGAGATAAAGCCAGCTGCTCAGCAGACCTGCTGGGCCGCGAAGCCGAGGCCGAGGCCAGCTCTGGGCTCAGCTGGGAAGATGTCCCTTGTTGGTCATTTCAGGGAGGTGAGAGCCACATGGGGCCAAGAAGGAAGGGAGCTCCAAGCTAGGGAGAAGGGAGCGGTGGATGGTGGATGGGTAAACTGTGAATCCCCCAGGACTCCCATGGGCTCGGGGCTGAAACCATTTGTTACACTTCTGCTCTGTGCAGGTCCCAGCTCCTCTCGAACTTTAATGCGAACGTGATTCTCCTGGGGATCTTGTTAAATTGTATGTTCTGATTTTTCCCTTTTTTTTGGTATCAGGGACCTTGCGCTTGCAGGGCAGGCAGCAGAACCACTGAGCTAAATCCCTGGCCCCTTTCCTTTGTTTTTGAGACCGGGTCTCCACATGCACTTCACACTGGCCTTGAACTCACTGTGTAGCTCAGGCTGGCCCCAAACTCACAGTGATCCTCCTGCCTCAGCCTCCCCAGTGCTGGGATTACAGCTGTGTGCCACCATACCTGGGCTGAACTGCAGGTCCTGATTCTGTGAGTCTGGTGAGAGTGCGGCCCAGACCTGAGGGCACTTTGAGGAGTCCCAGACCTGAGGGCACTTTGAGGAGTCGAACTGTAGAAGACTGAAAACTCTTGACATTATGCCTGACTTTGTGAAGTACAGGAGAGAAAATACATGCGGATGTTACCTAAAGGTGTTATAATGAAGACGTCAGTGGGACTCCAACTTTGAGGAAGGAGCTCTTGGAAACAAGCAGTGTCCAGATGTGTCCTGGGGCCACGACGGTTGAGGAGCACCCACGACACAGGGGTGCGGCCTTCCCGGAAGGCTGCTCTGAGACAAAAAGGCCTGCAGCTCACCCCAGGATTAAGGTTCTATTGAGAACAGAGGTCTCCCATCACTTAGTACACGCCCATCACAGGCACCTGCCTGATAGATGTTAAGTGAATGAAGACAATTTCTCTTACTAGGTTTATATAATCATGACTGTTGGGTGTACATAATTTTATGTACTTTTTTCTTAAGATTATATACTAATTTCCTCCATTTTTGTTATATAGCCTTTATTTTTTTTTCTTCTTTGAACCTCCAGAAGAAGTAGAGAGTATGGTGATATATGTCTGTAATCCCAGCACTCGGGAGGCTGAGGCAGGAGGATCACTGCCAGTTCAACACCAGCCTGGGCTATGTAGTGAGTTCAAGGCCAGCCTGAACTACACAGTGAGACTCTGTCTCAAACAAAACAAAACAAAACAAACGCAAAAAATGACAACAAAAAGAAAATTAAAAAAGAAAATAAACCTCCAGAAAAATTCAAATAAAATGTAGTGTATACCCTACATTCATCATTTTTAAACATTTTGCCATATTTATCCCATCCTTTCCCCCTCCTCCTCCTCCTCCATCTCCCCCTACCCCAGTTGGCAGAAATATTTCCCAAGAATAAGGAATTCTGTAGGGCCTCAACACCATTATTATACTTAGGAAAATTAGCACCTATTTAATAGTATTCCCCACTATATAGTCCATATTAAATTTTTCTATTTCCTCCCAAAATGTCCTTTATAAGTTTTTTCTCAGTCTAGATTCAATCAAGGGCCAGCTGTGGTAGTGCAACCCTATGATCCCAGCACCTGGGAGGATGAGGCAGGAGGATTGCTGCAAGTTCCAGGCCAGCCTGGGCTACACAGTTTAAGGCCAGCCCAAACTACATAGACCCTGTCTCAAAAAAACAGAAACAAAAACAAAAGATTCAGTCAGTGTCCCCACGGTATTTGTTGAGGTCTCTTTAGTCTATTCTAACCTTGGGCAGTCCCCATCTTTTTTTGCCGTTTGATTTTCATGACATTTATCATATTGAAGTGTCCAGGTCATTGTCATCTAGAATGTCCCACATTCTGGGTTTTCCTGTAGTTTCTTTGTGACTGGATTCAGGTTAGACGTTTCTGGAAAGACCACTACATAGAAATGTCATGGATTTCCTGGTCTGTCACACTGGCAAGCCCGAGATGCCTATTTGTCTCCTTTTTGGTGACATTATACTTGATCACTAGGGTAAGCTGAAGTCCACTGATTGCTCCGTTTTATTTAAAGGGAGCTGTAGCACTGAGGGTGCTGGCACATGCCTATAATCGCAGCTATTTAGGAGGCTGAGGCAGGAGGACAGTGACCCCAAGACCAGGCTGGGCTACATGGTGGGACTCCTCAAACACAAGAAAAACCAAAAGCAAGCTTTTGGCCTCCAGCATTTTCTCCAGTGGTATAAGCCTGCTGAAGATCTATGTTTGTGGTTCCCCAGGTGACCCTAGCGTTACCATCCCTCTGCACATGATCTGGTGTCCTGTGAAGAAGTAGCTTTCTTAGTCCGCCTCCCTTCTCTCATGACCACGGACTGAAAAATTAGTTTTTGGAGAAATTATTTATTTATTGTTCAGTACTGAGGATGATCACACCGAACTACAATCTCAACCCTTTTATTTTTTATTTTAAAACAGGGTCTTGCTAAATTGCCCAGGCTGGCCTAGAACTTGCAATCCTTGTGCCTCAGCCTCCTAAATTGCTGGAATTATCAGTGAGCTTGGAGAAACTGTTTTCTCTTCAACATAGACTCCATTGTCATGATTGCATCATCATCATCATTGTTTTTATGATACTCAAATTGTCCTAAATTTGGTCGATGGCTGCTGTTTCTTTGGGGCTTGGTGCCATCAATCTCGAAGCTCTTACTTGCTCTCTAACTCGAGATGTTCTGGATTGACCTTGCAAACCTGGAACCAGGCATCACTTTAAGGGAACCTTCCTTCAGTTGGAAATGGTATTTAAAACTGACTTCATGCTTTCTTTTTTTTTGTACCAGTGATTGAACTCAGGACCTTGAGCCTGCAAGGCAGGCGCCAGAACCACTGAGCTAAATCCTTGGCCCCCTTCATGCTTTTTAAATGGCTACTTAATATATTGTGAAATGAATATACTTCGGTTTAGTGCAACATTCCCTCATTTGTTGAGCATTAGAACATTTCCAGACTCCTTTTTTCTAAATAATTCTGTAATGAACATCTTTATCCAGATAATTTTCTTAGTTTGGGATTATTTCCTTTGGGAAGATGCCACTTGAGGCAAAATGTGACTCCTGACACATTGCCCAGTTGCTCACATGAAAGGATTTAAAGGTCAACAACGGCTGCTGAGCGCCAAACCTAGTCATTTTGTCTCATTTCTTTTCCTCCCTGACATCTTTCTGTTTTTTTTGTTTGTTTGTTTTTGGTACTGGGGATCAAACTCCGGTCCTTCTGCTTTCGAGGCAGGTGGTGGAACCACTGAGCTAAATCCCCGGCCCCTCCTTGACATCTTTCTAACACCTGAGTCTGATCTCCCCGATCCTTAAAGTCCTCTACCAATCTTTCCTAAGAATGTCACTCAGCCTCTCCCTCGGAGTGTGTTCTCATGCCTCCCTTCACCCCAAGGCTGCATCCTGAGTCCCTTTTCTCCCTGGAGGTTGCTGTTCCCTGCTTCGGAAGGCCAGTCCTGTCCCGAGCACTATTCCTTGCCATTGTCTCCAGCTTTGGCTTAGTCCATTCCCTGGACAGGGCAGCTGTATGCTACCTTCCTTCCAAGGTTTGTACTCTGTTCCTTGGGAATCTAGATGCTAGGATGGAGCTTAAGTGGGTCACGTTTTTTGGTTTCCTACATAGTTTTGATCAACTAAGTGTTTAGTTGCCAATATTTACCAATATTTGGGAGATCTCTCAAAAACTTTCTGATTTCTGCCTTATCCTGAAACATCACACCAACCCAGTGTCATGGGCTTATATTCCAGTCAGAGTCAACTAGCAGAAGCTCCAGTCAGTGGAATATTTCTCCAGGTCATGGCCTTGGCAAGGGTAGAAAAAGGAAGGAAAAAAGGAGGGAAGACCTAGAGGACTATATGTTACTAGAAAAATGGGAGCATAGTTTTT